GTGGCCGATGTCCGATATTCAGTTTTAAGGCCGATACCGATAGGGGGCCCATTATATCGTGCATCCCTATTTGAAACATTAGTGCAGTGGTTTATGTTAAAATAAATCTTTGGGTTAAGTTGTTGCAAGCAGGTTTTTTCTTGTTTCTTGTGAATTTGGTCTTAAATTTTTATTTCAAGTTGCTTTAAAAAGTCTTAAAAAGTCTTGAATTTAACTTGCCTTATGCTGTAGGAACCCTGTAAACAGAATATAGAGATTCCCAGACTTTTACTTTGGTTGTTCAATTCCGCTTTTAGGAAAGCGAATTTGCATATTTAATTTGCAAACTAAATATTTATTTACCAAAGTTAGATTTTTATGAAATAATGACAGTGAAAATAATGACTTGGACAAAAATAAACCCCTTATTTTTCTCTTAAAACAAGCTAAATAACCATAAATATTGCTCGTAATTTTTGACGGCTTAACTTTGCAAATATAATTTACATTTAAAATAAGAAAAAAAAAACAATTGCATTGTCTTATTTCAAGTGCATTTTAACTAATTGTCTTATTTTAAGCGTAGAAATATTCATTCCATTGACAGATCTTCTTATTTATCTGCTCAAATTAGGGATAAATACACTTAATTTAAGAAATTTTGACTTATTTCTAGATCGTTTTTGTAAAAGTCCATCAAAGAGTCTGAGACAAACGTTAAAGTGCTGCAGAAATTCAACCCAAACCAAACACTGAGTGCAGATTCTGAAGGTTTGAGTTTCTCTGGGTCACGTTTTTACTCTTTCCTGAACTGATGCAGAGAGAATTTCTCTGAAACATCATTTAAAAAGTCAGGACTTCATCATGATTCTGGATTCTGAGCAGAGGAACGAACAGAACCGGCTCCATAAATCCGCTCCACAGGTGGCTTGGCTGCTTTAACGGTAACTTCTCTCTGCGTTCCTAACATCCATGATTCGACTCTCTCCGTCCTCGCCGTCCTTCTCAGAATCTCTCCGGAGACTCAAACTAAACCTGTCGCCAGTAATTTCTTACTTTCGTCCTGCAGTCTGGATCTTTTCCTGTATTTTCCAGCCAGCTGGACTCGCTTTCTTTTTTTCTTTCCAAAAAATGTTAAAAAACAAACAACCAGCAGCTGGAAATCATGCAGGAGGAGATGGAGTTCCAGCAGAGGGAGTTTTTAGGATTCTTTTCTAAAATGATCGAATGACTGAGAGTAGAATGATCGAATTACTGCTGGCGTTTCCCCGGAGGCCCACTGATCAGATGACCTCAGTGGGCCGCCAGGCTCCTCAGAGCGGGGAGAAGGAAACAGCGCGTGCTCTGAAGGCCTGCTTCTTATCAGCCTGCAAAATCCTCTCCAGCTTCGCTTCTCCAGCAGCTCGCAGGACTTCATTCAACTCGCACACAAGGAACCGCGACGCCTTCCTGACTTATTCTGAACGTCCCAGAAGAAAGGTCCAGAAAGTAACCAGGAAGTTACTTTATCTCCTTATAAAACGCATGCATCTACCTGGAAGTTCCTCAGCAGGAACCTGGAAGCACCTGGAACCCTGCAGAGCTCCAACATGCATGCAGAGGCAGTGGGAGGGGCTTACCTTGGACGGCAGGTCGCAGCATCTGTCCCGGCTGGTCCAGGCCAGGCTGCAGACGAGGTCGAACATCTGGAGCTGGAACTGTGGGGGAGGGAACAGAGAACAGAGAACAGAGAACATGGGACATGTGTCTGAGCCCCCCCCCCCATCCCGAACACAAACAGGAAAACCAGCCGCAGACATTCAGTCTGTTTTCACTTAGATCCGCCTGTCATCCAGAATTACTGCTGATTCTACTGACAGGGTTCTAACTGCAACCCTATCTATCTATC